ACCAATAGATATATTGATACAGGAAGTAGAGCGCATGTACATACTAGGAGCAGCAACAACAAGAGATGTCGAAAAGCAGCGAAGTACTCAAGAATAAAGATAGTAAAAACGGAGACTGCGAGCATAATGACTTCACTGTAACGTAGTGAATGCATAAGAGCAGCAGAAAGAGCTAACTTACGTAGCGCAAACAGCATAAGATGGAGTGACACAAACAGAGACAACCAACTGACGATGTAAGTAGAAATCCTTAGACGGCCTCTTGACGAAATACTTTATGGTGGTGGCAAAAGGAGCTATCCGGACGAAGGGAGTTTTAAGGGCAGTTAGAATCCCTCAATGATTAGGCTTTCGAGCTTTCTTTCTTTCACAAAAAAAGCCCTATTGATCTGTAGCTCAGCCCCATTCAAGTGGCCAACAACAATTAAGGTTATTGATCACAGTTCGTTTGTGTAAGTAAAATTTTATTACTATTTTTGTTTTTTTTTGAAGTAATATCTTTCAGCTTTAAATGTATTTATGCTGATTTATACAGATTTGCTCATCATAGTTGCTAAAAAAATATGTTACGATTCGGTTGAACATTTATTCGTAAAACTCAAAACGGTCTTCTTTGATGATAAATACTTTAATTAGTGAATTTTCGAATCACACTTCCAACAAGACCAAAAACTGAGTACCATAAATTGACATACCCCATACTATAATCGAAATGATCGATGGGTTGGAATATGATCAAATGGCGATATTAAAGTGTTATTTTTAATAGATCGAATGTTATCGAAGACAAGATAAGAGGATAAGAAGACATGCTTGTATTTGATTCATAATCATTTCCAACTCTTTTTACATTAGGCAAACGTTAACATTACTTCGTAGGTGATATTTGACAAACATAGCGTAGTCCACAGAAATTTAGTGAAAATGGCAGCTGGATGCGATGTAATAATGCATTATGCATCTATTTCCCCTGGAAATGTTTACCTTAAAATACTCTGTTCACTCCGATGAAGTTAATACCACAATTAGTATATGCGCAGTTATTAATTCCGCGACGGTATTATAATTAAAGTTCAAAAGTGGCTATCAGCAGTAAATGTACAAATTGCAAACAGGTGAATAAATAAAAACAAAACCCTACAGCAAAAGTATTATTAAAATGTCAAACTATAAATAAAAGAAAACGAAATAAGTAATAAACCAGTTTAAACCAAATTATAAAACTTTCAATCATCCTTGGTTCGGCTAAGAACTTTTAAATACTAAAAACCGTGATGTGAAGCTTTTCTTCAAAAGTTTTAACCAACCTTAAAACTATATTTCTTATCCAATTTCCTATCCAGATATATTTTTGATAGAATTATTCACATTTTTCTAACCAGTTGTTTAGCCATAAATTACGATTGGAGTACACAATTTAATATCTTTGTCCAAATTTTAATTTGACTTGTCCTTTGGAGTATCTACATCCTCAAGCTTGGATAAATGATAAAGGCCTTACTTTTAATCGCTATGATTGTCTTTTAAATTCTTTCGAAATTAAACAATTTCGTAGGTCTCCATCTGTCATGTCTAACAGCCTGGTCTATACACAACAAAGTTACTATTTACTTTTCTGAACATGATTTTTATATTGGGAAAATCAAATCAAATGCTTCTACCATCCAAATTATCATTGTGGTTTTAAATAAAAGGGACGACTGAAAAAAATTGACTAAAGCAGAGAATGCCTTTGTGTAACTTCAAAAGACCAGAAAATCTGTATTCCCTCTTGTATTAATACCCAATATACCCTGTATTTCGCCCCTGTATGTTTAGTCTCAGAAAGATCTAGTTTAAGAATCAGATTTTTCATCTTAAACACATTTCATCTTAAGAACATTAGGAATGTTCGTATTTTTTGAAATTTTTTAATTCAAATTTTTGTGCAATGTAATCAGCGAAATACGAGAAATACAAAAATTCGACTTTAATGCTAATAATTTCGCAACTGTAGATAAAATGGTAGTAAACATTCATGTTTTGCTATCCTTTTCATTTTTATTCTGTATATAAACTGAGTATTGAACTACACATCGGTTCGATTTCGCGGACCTGCTAAAGAATGAGCATCAACCTCTTAGTTACAAGAGCATGAAGAAAGAGAAAAGATACATTCGAAGTGTTAATAGAAGCACATAATAAAGTGTCTTTATCGAAAGAAGTTGATTTACTAGCGACATTCTACCAAATAAAATGAGGTGAATATTTTCATTTAGACATTGAGAAAGCAAGGCAACACCCTCAATTTAAACTATTATCTGCAAATTCTGTTAAAGTAAATATTAACTTCTATTATTCAATAGTTCTACAATGCAGATTTGGCTAATTTCAGGTCCTTCATCAGACTGAACATAACAGAAATCAGAAAAAAGGAAGGAATCGGTTTATGTATATATTTTTCATTATATTATTAGTTGAAATAGCATACAATTTTTTTCATTGAAGTAAGTCACATTATTTAAAAATACTAATAATCCAGGTAAAACACACCATATATTTACAAAAACTGGTGGAATGATCATATCCACATCATGGAATGTGCGGAAATTCTGGAGAAAGCAAGAAAGAAATTCTGGCCAACAGAGTACTGAAAAGAACTTGTAAATTACGTAAAGGAAATTATTGCTGTCAAAACTTTTCATTTTTCATTTTCATTTTCAAACCTTTAACTTTAAATTTACTTGTGTTGCAAATATGTGTATTTATGTATTTGTTTATATAAACCTATCAGGTATCAAAACGAAATTTCCAATTTTTTCGAAAATTCTTCGAAAGTAGTATATTATTCTTTTGCTATATGCTTACAAAAGAATATGTCTTTTATCGAAAACTCGATAATTTCATCGCCATAGATGACATTAATGGTTGGGTAACATTAATGGTTAATACCTTGGGAAAGCAATGTCAGCAATAGAGTTCATCTATCTAGTCGACTTAAGTGCACTTTAACCACATTACGATCAGTAGGATATATTTACAACTACCAACTAAGTTGGAAAAATACGTCTTCGGCCAAAATAAAAAACTCTAAATAGGTAGAAGTGACAATTATAGCAAGGGGCGGAAAAATTTAATTATTTTTCTAAAAGTTTTCGAGAAAAAAAGCAGCAACAAAAAACAGCATTCTGCATAACGTATCAAGCCCTACCCTGGAATCCATAAGTTAGCCGCCGTGCCTAGAGTCCCAGCTAAGACGTAGACCAGGAGCTTAAAGACGCATAGTACTCCTGGAACCAAATTACGAAAGCAGGCAACAGAGTAAGATTTAGAGGAATCGTTGAGGACCTATGCTTCACTAGGAGACGAGGACAGCAGTAAGTAAGTATGTATAATTTTTATAACTTTTCTTCCTAATATTATGCATGCTTTATATATATACATGCTTTTAAAAATACAACTCAAAAATAAAAAATTTTTTTACATGATATTTTTCAAAAATAATTTAATTATGCGCCTTTTACTTTTCTACGCACAATAACTCATGCACTCTGTTTTTTATTTAAAAACGCGCAAATAAATATTATTTTTGACTTAAAAATATAAAACTCAAGAATAACTATTGTTTTTCAAACACAAAAATAAAATTTAATAAGTACTTAAATTAATTTTAAATAATTAATAAATGTTTAATAAATAATAATTAATTATATATAACACCTAATAATTGTGAATGCAATAACCTCCTACGCGCTTATTTATTAATAATAATGATTTAATAGTAGAGAGAATAATAGAGAGAGAGAAAGTATTAAATACAACAACAAAAATTCTTTTTACATTATTTTAATTAATTGAATTTATGGTTGACCATACAGCTGTTTCGAGTATTGCCAAATACCCATCATCAGTGGTCTTGGAAATAATTTTTGAATTTTATTATTCGTAAACAATTGTTTAAGACTGCAAGTATCAAGGGTTGAATTCGTACCCTGTCGAATTTGAAGCTCAGAGTCAGTGTTCATTAACCAACTGATTGAATTGTATGTTCTGAGGTGTAGTTTTGTTAATTTACTCTGAAAGTTCATTAACAAATTCACTTGCTGTATTATTTTAGATCGAAATCATGCACCAGTTGTAGAATAATTGAATCAAATAATTATATTTTTATCTTTAACTTTCAAATTTTAATAAGATTTTGTAGAGACATTATTTATAAATTACGTTTATTTTTTTCTTGTGCATAGAACCAAATCTAGGAACGTACATTAGAAACGTCTCTATTTAAATCACACAGTTTCTATTAAAGTAAAAAATACTCAATACTGTCATAGTAATGTTAAAATCAAATTTAATAATTATTTTAAAAAGTAAATTCAAAAATAAATGTATTATATCTTTATTCCATCATCATTTTATGTTATAAAAAAATTGCATTTTTTAATTCTTAATTTTACATATGAACATTCTACGAAAAACTGCACCTGTGCGCATATGAATAGAGTTTATATGCTGTTTCTATTTCATAACTGAGTTTATTTCTATACAATCAATACATATACTTATTTATATGTTATAAAAATACAATTTATAAATTATTTATGATTTTTATGTTTTAAAAGCGAAAAAAATTATTTGTGCATGGAAAAGTAAAAGGCACTTAATAAAAATTATTTTTGAAAAAATATAATAGAAACAAATTTAACTATTATTTTTAAATTTTCATTCTAAAAGGCGGATGATAAGAATTATTAGTTGTGTAACTGATAGTCGACGTGGATCCATCATCGCAGAGAGGTAACACAATGCACTATTGGCTGAAATACGACACATTGTACATGCACGTTCAGATTAGAATCGTCAACGCATATATCATTTTTGCTATTATTATATGTACTAATCTATATTTGTATACAAATATTGTAATGTGTTTGAAAAAAATAATTTAAGTTTATATGAATGTCCGTAGCAATGTATTAAAGTATTTGTGGAAATAATTTTTCTTTAGATAACTAAATTACCTGATACTGCTTCTAAGCATTTTATGAAAACTTCCATGTTTCTTTCACATGTTGCCTCATTTAAGTAAAAATAAGTTCTAGCACTACTGACTTTGTATCTACGATCAGCAAAAGACTTATCAACGTGGTACTGAGGCATTGTGCCTTCCTCCTTAAAATCACCAGCACTGGACACCGAAGATCTTTAATATATTTAATTTTATATTAATTTGATTAGAAAATTGTTTAACATTTAAATTTTAAGTGAAATACTCACTCAACTTCACGTTTTTCAGCTTCTTCTTGCGACAGATCTTCTTCAACAGAATAATCGAGAATTGGTTTCACACCAAATGATCGTAATCTAAGGAGAATCAGAGAAGGAGTTTTGAACAATTAGTCTTTTAAATTTTAATTTGTATTAGTTTATATTAATATATATATATTATATTAATGCCATTAGTATTTAGTTAAGTTTTAATACTTGAATTTTTAAAACATAAAAACCTAAATATGTTAAGCTAAGAGTAAGGATTGGGTTTAAGAATATGAAGTTATATGAAGAGACTAATAAAAGCTCGCTTAGTTGGTAATGTGGGATAAATTTTTGACAAATGAATAAATTTAAGCTGATTTGAGGATGTATGTTATTGGCGATATTAGATTTAAATTTTCAGAGCAACAAGTCAAAATGAAATGAAAAAAAAAATGCAAATATAATGGCAAAGAGTCGATGTTAATTTCACCCGATTGCAGAAAGATATGCCGTTTGCCATTTTTTACGGATTCTGGCATTACCTTAGAAGAGAAGTATTTAAAGAGTGCAAATAGCATATGAAGAGAATGTAGCATCGCTTGTGAACTGGGGGTCGAGTATCACGGTTGTATGGCGAATTTTAAGCAATAACTTTAGATACGCGAAGAAATCAGCACGATGGAATCATAGAATTTTAACTGAAAATTGTTCAGTCAATTTTGTTTTCTTTGAAAATTCGAAAATAGAGAGTCCAGCACTTCTGATGAAATTTTAACAGGTTATGAAGTTTGTTTTTACAAGTACGATTCAAAACAATGCAACAGTTGTTGGTATAGAGCCAAGAAGGTGCTAATCTACACGTTAAAGTCAAACAACATAAATCAGTAATAGAAGAAATTATGTCAATTAGAAAAAATTCTTCCAGCAGCATATTCTTCGGACCTAAGAAATTAATGGAAATTTTATAAAAAAAAATAAAAAAAAATGAAAAAGATTAGTCATGAAATAAAAATCGGTTTTGCCAATTTTTTGTAGTCAACTAAGCGAAGTTTTGTTAGTGCCCTCATAAATGCAAAATTTGTGTGCAAATTATGATCAATTTAGTTATTGTACATAAATTAGCCTTGACAACAAGTAACAGATATTTTTGGATAGTCTATGAAATAATATTTACACAACGTTATGTGCTATGAGCTACGATGAATGGACATCATCATTACACACACTCATGATGTTTATTGAACTAATTTTTATAAATCATACAAATTCATTTCATTCAATTATTCTAAAGGCTGATTGTATTAAACACATTAACTTCTAAAATTACCGAATAAATCTATAAAAACTTGTTATTTGTTTTTGCAAATAATAATATAAATTATTAATTAGTTTTTTATTGATTGTAATTTATGGATTGTATTTATACATTAATCTTTGAAATCAAAAAGCATGCCATGCATTATTTAAGGTTTTTCATAAAAAATATACGAGAAACAGATAAAAAGAAACCTTTCTAATTTAGGAACAATCATATGTCGATCCTCTCCGGCAACGAAATATCCATAGCAGACTTCAACAAAAGTTCGACAAGTTTGCTACTCAGAATTCGACAAGTTTCATAAGCTATTTGATTTGTTAACATATTTAAATGCATTTGCAAAAGGAAACGATATTCGCCATCAATAAAATTATAAAAGAAGCAACAAATATTTTTGGTTTAAACTAATATAATAAGCAAAAATAAAAACAAATTTTATTAAAAAATTTTTAAATTAAAATTACCTTTCAAGGGTTGGAATTATTTTGACTTGATCTTCGCCGGCAACAAAGTGTCCGTAGAACGTTGCTTTCATGAGCAGTGTAAATAATTTCGTACCCAATACTGTTTTTGCCAGTTTCATGAGCTGTGAAAATATTTAGTATAACCTTTAAAATAAATATTTCTCAATATTTGCAATATTTAACCAAACCAAAATCAAAATGAATTCGCTATGAGTGATTGAATAAATAAAGATAAAATGTATGATTTCGGTATTAATCTCATTGTCTCCTGATCTTGAGAAATTTTTTGATCCACATTAATATTTACATATATTTTTTTGCTGTCACATAATCAATCCCACAACAATAACAAAATTTTTTAGAACATTTATATCTAAGATATTGAGTACATTCAAAATGCAAAAAAAAGTTATAAAAACCACCATATGCGCATGAAAACGTGCCAGCGGTTCCGACAGTGTCGCATGAAACGTTTTTGCAGAATTGACGTAGACGAATCTCTAAAATAAATAATTTCCAAATTCTATTGTTTTAAGCTAAATTCAGCAAATATCAAAACGAGGGGGAAAGCAAAAATCTTAAAAGTCAATATTGAAATACAATGTATACACTCTATCACACTATATGCGACAATTTCTGACGTATGGAATTTGTCAGGCTTATAGATAGCAAAAAGAAATAACCTTTTAAGTATACAAATAATATATGATAAAAATATGGTATGATAAAATAGGTTCTTGAAAAATCCATAGAATGGCGTAAGATTTTAACAAATATATTTGTCCCAAGCGTAAAAAATTACATTCATTTTTATATGACGACAATATGTTATATTATGTCACGTCCGTTATCGCTGTATGTCTATGGTTCTTCGAGGACTTGAAAATCTAAGAACCACAGTTTACAGTTTTAACGTACGTAAATACGTAAAAGCATTCGTCTCGGATGAGACACTAAAATTTATATACGATTACTATATCGGTTATTCTCAAAAAGTGGACATAGGAGTTAAAGGCACACAATTTGCCGTTATAAAAAAAAAAACTCGAATTCGAAAAGTTATAAAGAAAGTAATGTGCGTAAATGAATTTCGCATTCGCAAATATGTTTCATCCACATAAAATGTGATATCTTCAATCACTTCCTTATCGAATCCACATTCTCCGCATCCTTAATATAACTAAAAAAGTTCAAAGATCTAGCACATTTTTAGTTATTTAAAACATATTTTAATATATAAAAATTTTCCAAATTGTGAATATACCTACACTAATAATCACACTTAATTTTAAAAACTCCTTAAGACGAACTTCGCCTAAAATAAACAATTTTCTTTATGTGATTTATATATGTGAAGTGTACTGCAGTTCTAAATATTTTTAGTTTTCTTTCCACCGTTTTTTCTGTCACTACTATTTGTTTTCTCCTTATTGTTTGCGAATTTGAGAACATTAAAAGAAACTATATCAAAATTAACAACATTGGATTACCCAAGTTATTAAGGCTCAAAGATTTTAGACTTTTACTCTTACACTATATTGATATATTTGTGTACATTTATATCCGCATTTTAGTATTGTTATTCTTAATCGCTTCCTGATATTGAAACTTCTTTACATCCTTATCTGCATTCACAATCGCAAGTCTAGTATCCGTTATTCCCTATATTATTTAATCAATTTATTTATATTATCGGCTTGTACATATCATATTTTTTCCCATGTAAGATCTTTTGTTTATCTATGGATTTTTCTTCCCTATAAAATTTTTAATAATTTCATCATTTTTAGTGTTAGAGATAATATGCATCTATTTGCTTTCTGTAAATCATTTAAATCATTTTTTATTTTATAAATATATAATTTTTTATCCATGTATAAAAAATTTAGTGATAAATGTCTTTACAGTATATGGATCCGCTCCAAAATGAAATGAAGAAATATTCTTCAACTGTTGAAAATTTCAAAATGCATTTTCGAAACAAATTTAAAAAAATTTGAATAGATCTCAATTATTTTAATAATAGCGTGCAGAAGATATCGAGAAAACTCAAAGCGAGATATAAAGATTTGTACTCAAATTTGGATTTAAGGTGGAAATAAATTTCACGAATACGGGAGGAAAGTCAATCGATCAGAAATATAAAACAAGAATCTTTTCACCACAAAATTGAAAAAGAAGCAAAAGGTGGAGAAAACTTAAGAGAGCCGTAACAAGAAAGAGGATTGCCTAAAATATGAATTTTGGGGCCGATTCACGTTAAGTTAATACTAGGACTAGCACTCAAAAAACTGTTGTTTATTATTTTGACCGATTATGCATAGTTTCTACTTACAAAATAAAATATATGATTGTTCAGAATATAATTCAGTTTTTTTTTTATGAAAATGATATGAATTATGAATTAGGTATTGCCCATTCTAATCCAATATCTTTTGCCAATATTGTGACAGTATATTCAGTTAGTCCAATTCGAAATTGATTATTGTGTTGTCCGATAAAAAGTTAAAAACACGATTTCGTTGAAATCTAACCAAATAGATGATATCACTTTTTTGGATAATTATCGACTTTTAAAGTACATTAAGTCGGTTCATCCTTTTTACTTTATTATCTTTTGAGATTAACATTATTATGAGAAACCCATTTCTCATCTCTACAGATGATACGTTTCAAAAATGAATAATTTTACTGATGTTTAAGAAGCATAAGAAACTTACGTTAACAGAACAAAACAAATATTTCTTCGGTAAGATCATGAGAACCTCATATGTCGAGCTTCGACATTAGACTTAAGTACTTTAAATGATAATGAACGGTTGAAATTGATAACTTTCAAATCGGAGCGATCTCACGAGTTGTCAACTGCACTTCCAGAACATGGAAGGTACAACAGTTTGGCAATGCCCTCCTGTCAATACATATTTTCCATACACACCGGAAAACTTTTTTTCTTTCTTTAACAGCATTTTTAATTTTTCGATAGCAAAAAGTAAAATATATCGAAAATGCTGGATTTTACTAACCATATTTGAAAGGGCACCAACCAAAAAATACTGCGTAAAAAAAATCAAAAGTTTTCCCAAGCAAGACAACGTAAAATTTTTGAATATATATATATTCATGTAGCACGTTATTTATCTCTACTATGTCAGTCAGCTTGCATTTAACTATAACTTCATAGCTGTCCTCGTTTTAACAATTTCCAAATTCTACAAACGCTTTTGATCTGTTATTGTCTTACTAAAAATATTTAATATAGAGATTTTACATCCTTCGTATAATGAACTCTATAAAATAAAACTGAGCTTACCATTTGACTGAGCTTTATTTTGTTCAAATGTAAACAAACATTAAGGACATAAATTATTTCAAACAATTTTGCTGTTTATTGAGTGACTTAACTTATGCTTAAGCCACTTCGGCGACTTAAGGCTTATTAACTGTGATTTTGACTCCTAATGTGCTATCTAAAAAGAATAGAACAATAATGAGATGGTAATAGCGAGAGTGTTGGTAATTGCTATAGAAAATCCAAAAGGCAATATAAGAGCATTTAGGCAGTGTACATGAAATCAAGCTTTATTTAATTAGCTTAGCTTAGCTATTATTTAGCTTGATTAATAATAGTAGTATTATTAAATACTACTATTTTCCTTTCGATACCAACTAGTTTTTTGTTGGAAATTTGTTTCGATATTTAAATGGAAATGGAAGAAAAGCACTTAGGAAAGAGAAACAATTGCTGTGAACTTTTTATATTATATAAATGTTTATTATAAATTTAAAACTAACAGATCACTAACAATCATACAGAATAATCTTTTGAATTATTTACAAAAGTATACCTGTTTTTCATTTTCATTTTCAAATTTAAATACAAATACAAAAATATATAATTTAATAAATAACTTAATAACAATACTGAGTAGTGCTTTAAAACCTATCAAAATAAATGCATTGACTGTGAACATACCAAGGACAGGCTTAACATAGGATTGGATATTAACTAGAGGGACGTTGTGAAATTTGATGTTAATTTGTTTTGTTTTAAAGCGAATCAAAATGCGTAAAAATCTTTTGTTTTTAATAATAATAATGCTTACAATCAATAATTCAAATAAAATTCCATTTGCCAAAATATTAGGTTGTAGTTTTAGTTCGTTAATATTTATGAGAAAAATTAATAGAACAAATAATTAGTAAAGAATTCATATTTTACAGTTAGGCAATACTAATATAATTTTAGTAAATAAATAATTTAAATAATAAATATAAATAATATAAATAATCGCATAATAAATAAGATCAGGAAATAAAATGTTATAAAACATATCAAGCTCTTGACTTCAATATATTTATGCACCTATGGTTGCCCCACGATATTCACTCTATGAAATCACTTTTGAAATAATATTTTCTCATATGCTAGTTATGTCAAAATGGAATGTCAAAATGGTATGTCAAATTCTGAGCTAAAGTTTGTATGCATTAGTGAGAAAGAGCCAAAGTGTAACCAGTGTAGGCAACGCATTTTCACCAACCAAACAATAGTAGGACATGAAGAGCTAACTTAAACGAAATGCAAACAAAAGTCCTCGGTTGCGAGTAGCTTGTTGTTGTTGTGATTTGAGTTAGTGCTATTGCGCTCTTTTACTCTTTTGTGGCTGGGGGGCTTATCCCTGCCCCATGCTAAACTTTAACTATACTAGAATCATTAGCTAGTGTAATGTAAAATAATTTATATATATGATATAATGAATTATACAATATGTTTTATTATTTCTAGAAAAGCACAAACGATATGCCTCCCGTTTTGAGGGTGTTACTCCTGATACAATATATATACAATATATATACAATAAATATACAATATATATACAATATATATACAATATATATACAATATATATACAATATATATACAATATATATACAATATATATACAATATATATACAATATATATACAATATATATACAATATATATACAATATATATACAATATATATACAATATATATACCATATTACAATATTGCTGCCGCCAAGAGACATCTTTGCGATCACAACTAAATGAGTTTTCATTCTTTATTGTACTCAGTTTCTATTTTGCAATCATTTTATTGTTGTTCAGAATTACTTGACAAATAAATCAAAAAAAATCGGCAGATTATAATCATATAAAATGTTAGTTGCTTTTGTTTTGCTGAACAATAAAATCACAATTCCAATATTTTAAATAGCGCCATGAGCAACAATTAGTGAAAAATTAAATGTTCTAAATTAGCTGGCACCGCAATAGGGAATGTACTTACACAGTTTTTTATATGATTTGCAACATAAGATTCTATTGCATTAAATTCATAATTTTTCAAATTTTTCAAATAGATTTTTAATCTATGAGTTAGAATCTTAAAATAGTATCAGAAATGCATATCCAATGTATGATACGAACCAGCTATCAGTGAGGCTGATTAAATTTTCAGACCGCCTCTAAGACCTGGGCCAGCATTACAGCCACGTCGTCTAATGCAATACCATAAGACAAAATTTTATAGGTTGAACCAGTGGGGAGAGAGATTGTGTAGTGTACAAAAAATAATGTCGAAGTTTTTGAAATTTCTAAATCATATCTTTTGCTTACTACGGTCAATAATTGAAGTAAATTAAAGGCTAACGATTTACATTTTTTCAAATAAAAAATCATCGCGAGCTGTGTTTCGTATACGAAAGTGAAATGCAACAGAATAAACTTTTTATAATCATATAATAAATATGATTAAATGTCTGCTACACCTAACTACACAAATCAATAACTATGAAATATGTACACGCAAAAAGAAGAGCATGGAATTCCCATAATAAAGAAGAAATAGGTTAGAACTCTTACAAAAATTTTCTAAAATAACGGAAGACAAAGTTAAGAACTGCCATGTCACAAACAGCTAATTTTTATTTTGTTGGATAGCGAACCAGGTCGACTAAGGTGGATACAGATTACTGTACCTTTCATATTAGTGAATAAAATAGTGGCTTTAACAGTAATTAATCGATTCCGCTTCAATACTTTATAACTAAACAGTGCAAAAATATGCATTTCATGTTCACGGAATCTGGATGTGACAGGATTATTTTACCATCGGATTACTTTCATAATATTTCCTTGCACAGCTATAATACTAAAAAAACAGCTATACCTACTTATGTTAGATGAATACATTATTTGAAGACCGCTTCACGCTATTTTAAACTCCATTCAAATATATACTAGCCCTGTTAATATTACCTTTGGTGACCGACATGAAAAAATATGGGTCGCAATTTCTACATCATACATTTTTCCACAATTTTTCTTTATGTCTGCACAACTCTTACAGTTGCGTGAAAACAAATTGTCACTTGGGCTTACATATCCCAATTACACAAGCAACCAGCTGCTTTTAATGGTAACAAGTTAAAAATCGATGCGGTTGAATGTATACATTGATTCCTCTATTATATTAAATTCAATTTGAATTAAACTGCTTATTGGATTCTTTCGTCATTACAGAAGAGTAGTCACACATTTCTACAAAGGTAAAATCTGCGAAAAGCGAAGCACTATATATCCATTGTTAGGTTACCTCTGTAATCGTATAATCTTTCACAAAATTACATTTCTTCCGTTACTACTGGTTTCTTATTACAATTCTCTTTAAGATTTTACAATGCAAGTCACTTCCTTCAACATGTGCATATTGTTTATATATGTTCCATAATCATTTTCTATGAAATAAACCATACACTTAAAGAAAATGAAGGCACTATATCTGCCGTATACAATGAAATTGAACGAAATTGATAATTATATCAAATGAACTTTATGAATTACTAACACTTTTATCAATCAATGGAAAGATGAATATTAAATGTGAAGAGGTTTAGTTTATATTAGTGGCTGCCAGATTATTCAATATATCAATTAATCATAGTTCGTATAAATAGAATAATTATTTATACTCGGTCCGAAACTAAACAACACAATTCTAGTGAGAATATAAAGAGGAGCAGCTTCATTTAATCAAATTTATTAATCGATGCAAAATTCGTATACAGTCAAACTTCCAAAACTCGAAGTACCATTTTGTAAAGAAAAGGTTTGATTTATGAGACTTCGAGTCAAAAAATCTTTTTGTAATTGTTCGTAATTTGCTCTCAAAACCCTGTTGCTCTCTATTTAGTTCGAGTTTTAGAAAATTCGGATTATCTTTTTATATAACATTTTTATATAAATATATATATATACTTGGCAGTTCTGCCCCATGCGAGCTTTACTCCCCAACCGCGGTTATATTCGTACGTACTTTTTCATATTAAACAATATGATACTTCTAAAAGAGATATAAAATTTTTATCTAGTTTTAAGGTTCTTAAAGAAATTTGATATTTCTTCCAAAAAAAAGTTAAAAGCAAAGTTAAAAGTACATACATAATGTTGAATATGAAAGAGTACGTATAAATATAACGTCTGTCCTTCTGCATACTACGCCGACATTAAACCTTAGCAATTAATTTTAATTTTTTTGATAAAATTCAAATAAAAATAAAAATGAGATGACATTACATAATGACATGATGAAGATAAAACAAAAATGACCCGGTACATATTTTTTTATAATAAAAATATATAAAAAAAATATTTTAAAACTATTTTTGAACTTCTTACTCTCATTAACCGGGACATATTTTGTGTATATTTCAAAATTATATTTTTAGTTACTAAGTGTATTAAAAAAATTGTGTTGATTACGCCTTATACCATAACTTTGACTCCTCGGTATATTATATATACATATTTACATAGTTTGGTTCAAATCTTAAATCAAATAGCTTTGGGAAAAAAAAACGATTAAAATTTATATGACAAAGTTTTACATTCTATATGTGTAAGATACGATTAATATTATATATTAGCATTTGATTTGAAACCAATAGATTTAATTTGATATTAAGATTAAAAAACTATCTCTCTTAATAATATTTTATTATTGTGCATGCAAATAACGACCACTATCTTAGTACTTTTATAATTATAAATTATTAATAATCACTTATTAAACTTGGCATAATTTTAGCTTTTAAATAAAATCAATCCCCATGCTTATCGAATCAATATAGTTAACTAGAATGGAAGTAATGATCATATGGAAGTACACTTAAAGTCCAAACTCTTCATTTATAAAAAAAACGTATTTAAACTTATTCTGTAAAGTTTACCACTTACTTTTATATTTAAATAAAAATTAAATAAAGTTAAAGGGATTTAAAAACTATTGCTTACCTTTAAGTTGTGCTCCACTATCTTCTCGCTAGTACAAATCGTGTAAACGATATATGCTCTTATCAGCTCCCATGTCGTTTTGCTCTTGAATGCCGCGTTAGGATCATTAAAACCGACATCCAATGGATCCCGTTGAACATTTGGAGGAATGCTTGGCTGAAGAGTCTTGCTATCTTTTTTGATCGTAGGTGTCGCGAAGTGAGTTTTGCGTGAAGAATCAATATGTAAGTTTTGAGTTTGTACATACTGCGGAACAATCACGTTTTTTAATAAACTTTGATTAGGAGTCAATAAATGGAACTGGAGACATAATTGACTTTTTGAACTTATAAATCCTAAAATACTTTCGTTATGTACATTTTTGCAACTAGAGTTGTCGGTGTTGAAGTCATTTGACTGACATATTAGGCGAACACATCCAGGAGTGTTCCAATTGATCACTGATACTTCGTAATGTGTCCTCCTACTATAATCCTTGCGATAATTAACTAAATTTTTTATTGTACGTTGAGCACAAATGGAACGCAAAAACGCCATTACACAAAGCAAGTACACCCGCAAACACTGTACAAAGTCTCAGATGGATTTTAAAAATTCTAAAAAATTTATATGCAATTTGTTTTTTGTATTCTTTGTATAAAAATAACTTAATCTAAACAATTCGACATTATACCGAATAAGTAAGCGAAAAAAAGTAGTTGACACTTCAAGGATTATTTTATATATACGTTAATGCTCGGGAATACGTCGAATTGCAGAAACTGCGATTGGGGAAATAAGTTGCAGAGCCAAAAAACTGAAAGGCATTTCTTTGCGGCGAACTCTAAATAAATCGTTAAAATTCTCTCTATTCAATTTTCATTCGCATTTAAAGTTCGAAAGCCCTGTGAGCTTATTTTGGGCAAAAAAGCGCGGCGAAAAAATTCAACTTTTGCTGGGAAAAAGGTTTTATGCATGGCACAATATAATGTATTAATTAAAATAATTAAAATTTACTCGGAAGAATGCACGTGCAATATTAATATTTATGAATGTGACGATTTCAACTTTTTTCAACATTTTTTATAATTCATAAATCAAGAATAGAGAATTTAAATTAAATTCCAAACATTTAACAGTTTTTGCTGGACAGAATTATAATACAGACTAATGTTAATTATACAAACAGTAAACCTTCCTTTCATTAGCGTTACAATAAGTATAATTAACAACAAATTTTAATCGGCGTCACGAGTTGTGAATTAGCTCCTCGCACCTCACAGATTTTTAATTAAAAGCCAATAAATAATATGACTAGAACAGTCATCTCGATCAACGCAGATATGCTTCTAGGCAGCAGTTAGCTTAAAGGTGAATTAATGATGCAAAACAGCTCAGAAAGCCAAAACTCACGCGAAACGGCGTCATCTCGTATTTTATATGGACGTGGAGCAGTGCATTCAATCTTGGATAATGTCTTCCGCTTTAATAAGATATTTTTTAAATGAGAATAGGATAAAGCACTCTATTACGTATTGCAAAAGAAATAAAAAATACCGAACTTCTTTCTTTACAAGTTTTCTGCGATGTTCTACAATATGTCGAGCAAAGCTTAATAATGGCCCTGTCAAGTATTAAAGTTGAGGTCTCAGAGCAGAATCCACTATTTAAACGAAATCTGTGCAAAACCAATTCAATTAAAGACTATAACTCTCAGTTGAATTTGCTACACATATTTCAAATTTCCAACCATGCAAGCACCCTGTAACGGAGCGAATATTTAGGTATACAACCTTATATAAAATTTGCCGGAATTTTGTTTTTGTATTTGCTCTTTTCAATTTTTTCGTTTTCTCAACTCAAAAACGAAATTATATAACTAATTGCACGTCCTTTAATTACGTTTCTAGCTGCGAACGTAATTTAATAATCAATTTTTAACAAAATCCTTAATCGATATCAATCTAAGCATCCTGGTTTTGTAAATATCTAAATGGTGTCTGCGATTGTTATTCTCATTGCAAAATTTGGCACTTATTCGTTTAGACGTTCTTTTCGTTGAAACAAAACCGCACGAACTTCAAGAAATTTTTCCCCCAAACTTGTTTTTATTTAACGAAAATTATCGCGTATTTGATGCATTACGATATTCAGGCAATAAAAACCATTAGCAAACTGTAAAAAACCATATTAAACACATTTCGTAACGAGGGTATATATTAAATAAAAAAAAATTAATTGCAAATTATTCACTTCCAAACTCAACACACAATTCAAACCTCACAGCAACGAGACGAAAGACTGACTGATTCAAATTTATCCAAAGTTTGGGTATCTTAAATTGTTTTCACAGTGGGACAAATCTGATTATCCTACTACACATTAAAACTATACATAATATATACTGTATCTATCAACCTTTCTTTTTGTAAATAGACTTATAGACTTATAGTCTGTTTCATTATCAAAAAAATACGAAAGTCACAAATTGTTTCGTGAATTTAGCGAAGTTGCATATTTGAACAAATTTTGTATTTACACAACACACAATTTTGCCATTCAAGTTCATCGCTACAGGCCACAATACGAATAGTCGGACCAAGTTGTCCGACTATAGTTTAAAATAATAGGTAGAATTTATTTTTAGCGCATATGTGCTTATTTTATTTTATTTTGTTTTATTTTATTTAAGTGATGTTGTGCTATTGTTATTATAGGTGCTTTCGGTGGCTCGCAAACGTGACAAGGTGTACGCAAAACAACAACATTATTTTCTCTATCTAGGCCAATAGTTGTATACTGGCCACACACTTCGGTCAGTAAAGAAAAGAGTGTTGCCAACGCATTAAGCGAACTATTGTGAACCTTTATGGGAAATTTCAACGAATCTTGCAATCATATGTTAAAAATCATATGTAAACAAAAATTCAAACAAAATTCAAATATTTCTTAAATTTGAAAACTGAGAAAAAAGAAAAATTGAAAATACATAAAAATCTTAAAAAATAATGAAAAAATCGTAAGAATAAAGCACAATAAATTTTTTAATATATTAATTAGTAACAAGTAACATTATCTTATTTTATTTAGGAAGTGTGCGAGTTAGGCTAAGTTGCATTCTAAATGAAGGAAATACGAAGTTGTGCCGATAATGTAGTGATGTGTCGATACGTGTTGATATATGGTTAAAGGTGTGCTGTGCAAAAAATCCCAAAAAATTTCCCATTTGGTTTAGCATCAACTTAGCCTAACTCGCACACGTTCTACATATTTAAATTTGTATTATTTATTTTATTATAAAATATCACAAAACGGTTCATAAACGGTTGAGTGATTCCGGAAGTAAAACATGGACAGCGCAATACATCATTGTCTAGCCTCTCCTCAACAAGTCGGCCGGTAAGCCTTCTCGTGGCGAACCTGTTACCACAAATTACCGACGACGCGCCGAGCTAGGACCGGCGTAATAAGTCCTCTGCCTGAAAATGCGAAAGCCGAAGGCACATTCTCAAAAATTTTCTTCCGTAAACTTTTTAACTTTCCAGTCATACCTGATGGCTCTGACGGTTAGGGCACAACGGGCCGATCACTTATTGTACCTGAAGCGTAAACCGATTCCCAGAAAGTCTATAAGAAATGAAAACTTGAACTCAAACTTAATGACGAAAAAACGCAACGAAAATGGATTACGATTTGGAACCTTACATTATGTAAAAACGCTATATAGCGCGGGTAAACTGGCTCAGGCGGCAAAAATACTTGAAAATTACAAATTAGCATTTATGGGCATGAGCGAAGTTAGATGGAACGCATGTGGACAAATTAGAACCCCAAAAGGTCGAAAATGATAAAAACGCTTTTTATGACAAGCTAAGCGTTGCAATTGCTGAAGCACCAAAGAAAGATTTTAAAATTGTGATGAGCGACCTTAGTGCTAAAATTGGATAAGTAAATGAAAATTTATAGCATGTCATTGGGAAACATAGCCTTGGTGACATGAATAACAATGGCGAATGCCTTGTAGAGCTATGTGGTATAAATGAACTCAAAATTGGAGGCACGCTTTTTCCGCATAAAACAATACATAAAGTAACATATGTATCACCTGATATGAGAACACAAAATCAAATAGACCATATTTATGTTACGGCAAAGTGGAGTAACTGTTTAAATGATGTAAGAAATAAACGAGGTGCCGATATCAGTTCCGATCACCACCTACTAGTTGGCAAAATACTAGTCAACCCAATAAGAATTAAGAAGGCAGTTAACTGTAGCAGAATCAAATACAAGGTCTCTAAATTGAAAGCACCAAATATAAAGCAAAGTTTTTCACGTTCCATTTCTGAAAAAGTGTCTGCTCCTACTGACAACCTAAATCCCCAACATTGCTGGAACAAAATAAAAATGGCTATTAATGAAACCTGTATGGAAACCTTAGGTAGAGCGTCAAATAATACCAAAGAGACTTCATCTCAGCACAAACTTGGATAATCATAGAACAACGAGCAAAACTCAAAAATGAAATAAGTATCATGAAGAAGCCTAATGATCGAAAGAGAGCGCAAACGGAGTACACACATCTGGACAAACGTGTCAAAAGGGCAATTCGGAACGATAAGAAAGAATTCTCTAACAAAATGGCAAATGAAGCGGAAAATGCAGCGGGATCAAATAATATGAAAAGTCTCTTTGATATAACAAAGCAACTAACAGGCGAGAGAGTCAAAAGAACCCTACCTGTCAATAATCTCTCTGGTGAGCTATTGACAAACATAAACGATCAGCTAAACCGATGGCGTCAACATTTTATTCAAATATTGAACCTAGAACGCGAAGGTATCATGATAACGCAAAATGACAACGTAAATGAGTTACCGATTAGGGTTGATCATCCCTCAAAAAGAGAAATAACTAATGCAATAAAACTGCTGAAAAACGGAAAAGCTGCAGGTCTTGACAATATTCCGGCCGAAGTGTTGAAAGTTGATTTGCAACTAACAACGGATATCTTATACCCGCTCTTCAAAACCATTTGGGAAACAGAAATTTATCCTTCTGACTGGCTTCATGGCATTGTAATTAAAATACCCAAGAAAGGAGACCTAAGTGACTGTAACAACTGGCGCGGCATTACGGTTCTAAGTTCTTTGATGAAAATATTTATAAAAATTATTTTGGAAAGAATGGTAAAAGTTGTTGAAGTACTATTACGACCAAAGCAAGCGGGTTTCAGAAGCGGAAGATACTGTGTCTTAGTATTATCATAGAACAATCTATAGAGATGCGATCCCCTCTTTATCTGCTTTTCATCGATTTTGAAAAGGCGTTTGATTCGTTAAATCGAAATTGCATATGGGCAGAGTTGAAAAATAATGGTGTCCCAGCTAAAATAGTCTCAGTAATTGCAAAAAGCTATGATCAATTTAAGTGCTCAGTTTTACTCTACAACAAACTGTCTGAGCTCTTTTGTACAATTTCTGGCGTACGTCAAGGATGCGGCCTTTCCCCACTGCTGTTTCTAATTGTGCTTGACGCAGTGGCCAAGAGAGCAAATAAAGGAAAGGTACGAGGTATTGTATGGAACCCACTTTCACCGAACACTAGGCTAGAGTGTTTGGACTATGCTGACGACAAATGCGAGTTGTCGCATCGGCTTGACGATATGCAACAGAAACTTAATGACCGATCTTTAGAGTCGTGGAAAGTCGGACTAAAAATCAATGCACAGTAAACAAAAGAAGTTCGAATAAACAATCAAATTGACGAACTTTTGAAGTTGGAAACGGAGACCATTGAGCGCGTAAATGAATTCCAAAATCTAGCGAGTATTATGTCTGAAAATGGAGGTACAGCGCAAGATGTGATAAGCAGAATAAAGAAAGCCCTTGGTGCTTTTACAAGGCTTCGTAAAGTGTGGAGCTCAAATACCTATAGTTTAAGCACAAAGATAAAAATCACTAAAGCATGCGTTCTTTCAGTTCTCTTGTATGGTTGCGAAACCTGGTTTGTTACAGAAAACATACAAAGCAAGCTAAGAGTATTTGTTAACCGCTGTCTCCGCAGAATTTTACGTATCTTCTGGCCAAACAGAATATCAAATCACGATCTTTGGACCAGAACAAATGTTAGAGATGTTAATCTTGAAATTCATAAAAGAAAATTTGGATGGATCGGGCATACACTTCGAAAAGCTTCCACCGAAATTTGTCAACAGGCGTTGGTATCTACTACCTTGCGAGTTAAGTAGTAGATGAAGAGCCCGTCCAAAAACAACATGGAGAAGTTCAACGTTGAATGAAATAAACACCATTTTGCAGCCCCTAGGAAGAAACATAAGCAATATTACAGACATAAAGGACGTAGCGTTACGGCGCGAAAGGTGGAAGCGGCTTATAGACAGCCTATGCCCAGTATAAGAGGCTGCTCGAAATCATGGACGTCCAACAAGGCGTATTATTATTATTATTATTATAAAATATTTTTAGTTCAAGTAAGTTTGTATTGAAGTAAGTTAATTAATCAATAAATTAATTTATATAACAGCTTTTCTTAACAAATAATTAAAAAGTCTATCTCAAAGTCCTCCAATAACACCATGTTCCTCATCTATTTACGGTTCTTTATTGCTTTCATTATTTCATTATTTGAATAAAACATGCATTATTATACAAATATTATGCAAAACACAAACACTTACTACTATATTTGGTTTTGCAGCCAAATTTGTTTGCTTAGTAAATTTTGATAGTCTTCGAAAACGATTTATTAAACGAAATCGAAATCCATTTCAACTACAATACAGGCAAATAAACGTCTAAGAAATCCGTGGCACAGTTTTCAGCACTAAGTCGCTGCAAAACGTTGCTGATTTTTATCGTCCAGCATCGAGAGTACTTACAAAAAATTACTTAAGACGTGTGCGAGTTAGGCTAAGTTGATGCTAAACCAAATGGAAAGTTTTTTGGGATTTTTTGCACTGCACACATTTAACCATTTATCAACACGTATCGACACATCACTACATTATCGGCACAACTTAGTATTTCCCTCATTTAGAATGCAAGTTAAACAGCATGCTCGCATATAGGCGCTAAACGAGACATTGACATCACTGTTGCAATTTGCAACACCACCACCACAGCTGTGGTGAAACCCGTCGTGATTTATTTTAATCGCTTGACGACGAACTTGCTGATTATTATTTTTTATTAATGGAATTACTTCAAAGGGCCTTGTTCGACAAACGTTACTTTGTGTACTTTATTGCTGGTACCGTCGTTGCGGTTGGGTTTAGTC